ACCAAAGTACAAAACACTGATACATTGGAAATCTGTCTTCCATTTGGAGAGCTTTCATTGTTTTTCAAGTTTTTCAGCACGTGGCATCCTAAAATATGTTCGAGGAGGCTCGTCCCAAATCATCCCAATAAAAGAGAGTAATGGGAAACAGCCTTTGAATGGCTCAGGATGAAGGAACTTTGGAGGGGGAAAAAAAAAACACAGAAGAGATGAAATACAGCCTTGTCATGGCAAGTGGTCTTGTGTCTGACCCCGCTGCACCCTAACCTAACGTACATGAAGTGACTCCGTTTCTGACTTTTTACATCTGGCCGTGATGACAGCTGACCACCCTGCAAAGAAATCCATGTGCACATGCTTGCATCAGACTCTTGCCAGTGTTAAATGCCATCCTCACTCGCAGCTGTATAGAGAAAATCCATTGAGTCAAAACAGTTTGAGAAGTGTTCATGCACAGAACATGGTCCATTTGTCAGGTTTTTTTTCATGAAGCTATGTTAAAATTTCAACTTGGAGATCCATTAAGTTTGAATTTTGAAAGAGTGACCAAATCAACACAGTGTTGCTTTGTTTTAGTTCCAAACAATATTGTGCAAAGTGGGGCACATCTGGCTATAGTAGGACCAAAACTGACCAGTGAGAGGCAGCCTGGTGCCACAAGTCATCCACACTGCAGGAAAATACAAAGAAGAAACCGTGCTCGGCCAACTAACAGCTTCTCCGGTAACCACGTTGTAGCTGTAAGGTTTCTCCTTGTCACTTTTTTATTGATGAAGGAATTTATTGATGAATGATTTGGGAGAAACATTACACCCGGGGTACTCAAATACAAAAACTAAAGGGCCGCAAAGGATTGTTTAAAATGAGTCAAAGGTCAGGCAGGGGGGCACGGTAGTCGACTGGTTAGCACGTCCACCCTCACAGTGCAGAGGTGCAGGGTTCGCTTCCGGCTCCAGCCTTCCTGTGTGGAGTTTGCATCTTCTCCCCGGGCCTGTGTGGGTCTTCTCCAGGTACTCCGGTTTCCTCCCACATTCCAAAAACACAGATTGAACTCTCTAAATTGTCCCTAGGTGTGAGTGTGAGCGCGGATGGTTGTTCGTCTCTGTGTGCCCTGTGATTGGCTGACAACCAATTCAGGGTGTACCCCGCCTACTGTCCGAAGACAGCTGAGATCGGCTTCAGCATGCCCCGCGACCCTTGTGAGGATAAGCGGATCAGAAAATGGATGGATGAATGAAAGATCAGGCAGTGCCTGACTTATCAATTGACCGTTCAGTAATTAACACCATGTACCTGTAAAATTCTAGTGTAAAAAGTAATTGCTAAAGTCCACAAATGGCTACCTTTGGACCAAACATTTAAGGATTTGCGACTAGAAATGTTAAACAGGTTTGACATTTATGATTTTCAAGGGAAAGACTCACAACATACCCAAAACCACAGGATAAAGGTTCAGGAAAACTTGACAAACATCTGAGAATCCGTCCTTTGCCTGCTTTGATCGGAATCCTTAGGAAATTTGCTAATTCGCCCTGAATGTCAGTACCTGTGGACCCCCTTTAAATTGCAGAGCACTCAGTGTTTCTCAGGTCTCATTTCCATGGCCAAGACCTCCGTATTTTGGTTCTTGTCTGTGAAGGCTCAGTGACACTGACTTGTTGACTTCCACTCAGCAGAAATAAACAGGAATAATTTATTGTCGCCTCTTTCTGTTCTGGCTTCATGTCTAGTCTGGCAGCCCCAATGAGAAACACACAAACACCGAGCTTTATATTTCATATATCTCACTACTTGGATCCTCACAACTTGGATTTGTCAGCAGGAAAGCCAAAGACGCGTGTTAGCGGGAGTTGGCAGAGCATCACTCAGTCAAATGGCCCCATGCATGCACACGTAGACACAAGTGGGAATTTCAGAGGGAGGATTTTTTTTTAAAAAGTGGTTTAGTGGGGAGTCGAGGAGGATGAACTGAAGAGAGATTGAAAGTGTACATGTGTGAGAGGACTTCACAGGCTTTCCAATAGCGCTGCCACGTCAACACCAAAGCTGTCGTCTGCCAACCTTGAGGAGATGAGGAAAAAGGAGGAGTGTGTCTATCAACAAATCCTCTGGAATGGTCACACACACACATGCACACACAAACATGGACGTGATCATAGGTCTCACACTTTTAAATAAGTCCCTGAAAAACTTTGCTAATCATGACTCTGTGGCATTGTCCATGCCAAAGCTCCCAGCTGCAGCAGGACTTGACAGTTTCAGCCAACACAAAACGAAAGGCGACAGTGAATGCAGGCAACACCGGCCAAGCAATGAAAAGTGACGTCAGCCACAAATGCACCCTTCTTCTTCCAGTCAGATACTTGGATGAATTTTGCTCAGACAAATTATGTAACTCTCATTTTAGATGGTCGAAAGCTAGTTTTTCATACTTGGGATAATACAATTATAGCATGTTGACAACATAGCTACCGAAAAGATGGAATTTGTTGATTGCTTAAGGGCTAAAAGCCAGTAGTGGAAAGTTTCAAGGCATCCATTTTCTGTCCCGCCTATTACAACCATGACTTGGTGTGAAAGCCAGTCTCGGTCATCAGTCAGTCACAGGGCACAAATAGAGACAGACAAAAATTATTTCTCATGTGAACAATAGAATTAAATGGGACATGAAGCCACACTGCCTAGTTCAACATCAGGTGAATGTACCATTACAACACCAATGATTTGATGGGATGTCAAGACGTACAAATACCAGGGATGGGAGAGTACCGAAACCAGTTATACCGGCCTTATTTTTCACACGGACTCACGGTGGTTAGTACAAGGTCGTCTTCAATTGCCCAGATAACCTCGGCAATGTCAAGTCTACCCCCCCCCCCCAAACACCTTTCACTCTTTTTGCCTTTGTCTGCGTGACCTGCATGCACTCACAGCTGACAATGAGGCACTCTGGTGCAGCCAGTGGACGATGTGAAGGGAAGATATATTTTCAGCATGTCGGCATAGCTGGGGGGGGGGGGGGACACGTTTAGCCACGCCCCCAAAATATCAGGAAAACTGAGATGGTGAAAATTGAGCACTACTTAGCCTTCGGTCTTTGCACACATTTTCAGCAGTTATTTTCAAACATGAATTATGTTTTTTAAAGCAAATCTCTGAATTCACTTCACAGGGTCTTTAAGTGGATTTTTCAGATATCTGTACTTGATTTTTTTTCCAAATAAGTCCCTACATTTGAATGATTTATACTTCTGTACTACCTACTTTGTCGAAATAGGCTGTTTACTTTTTTCAACATGCATGGAAGATGACATGATATGTTCTAATATGTAAATAAGAGGTAAAGTCAGCCATGGCAGAGAACTTGATTGAGCTCGATTAAAACTTCTACTTCAGTAACGTACTTCGATCAATAGTCTTTTTTTAATACGAAAAGCATTTGTACCAATACTTAAGTACAAAGTCTAAGTACTTTTGCCACCTCTGCAAGAAGTCGACCCTAGTATACTGTGTAAACATTCATTTCCATCTCTTCACATGGTTGTTAAATTTCAAAATGTGTTTTATCTCTACCCCCTTTTGTTCCAACTATGTATACATAAGATATGTGGCGTCATTGTAAATAGAGTAGTTCCATCTGCTTCTTTTCCAACACAGCTTATTGCACACAGACTTGACTCCTCAACATTGGAATTTGAGCTATCCTCGTGGATCAAGCTCACATATGAAACTTTGGCATCACCTAGTGTCCGCAAGTGAGTCTACACGCTATTCTCATATACGTACAGGGTTGCTTGATTTACGACGGAGTTCGGTCCGTGACAACGAAACAGCACGTAAATCGAAACGTATAAGGATCGGCACTCTACATCACGAGCCGTCACCTTCGCTGACGAGGTGTTACAGTCATAATTACAGGAAATGTTTGCATGGACATTTTTTTCTAGGCCATAAATATGAAACCAAATTGGAAAAAAATCATTAAAACGATTATTGAGCGTGCCGCAAGATGACCTAATGTTTGTTTTCTTCTCTTTTATTTTCTGTGATAGATTGGGATGATGGCCTACGATGTCATAACCCAGTGGTTCTTAACCTGGATTCGATCGAACCCAGGGGTTCGGTGAATCGGTCTCAGGGGTTCGACGGAGCCTCTGCCATGGAGGTTAGGTAGGACATACCGGACTCAACATGTCAATTAGTTATGATACGCTCGCTTGGCCATCAGTGGCTGGTTCATTTTGTGCACAATTTAAAAAAATATATATACTTATGTCTTGACATTTTTTCTTATGTCTTGAAGTTTTTTTCTGTTTTTAATAAATGCGGTTTTTTATGTCTTTAATTTGTAAAAAAGAAAAAAAAACACAACAACAAAAAAATCAAGTTTTTATTTTTCACTAATGAAGGGTTCGGTGACTGTGCATATGAAGTGGTTGGGTTCAGTGCCTCTAACAAGGTTAAGAACCACCGTCATAACCTCAAGACGATATGTCCGGACTCGGGATCGCCAAAGAGCCCTGTACACCTTAATACCTGCTGGCGGTAAAAGTGCGCTTATCATTTTCAATAGTGGATATTAACTGATTATTTGTGGAGATAAGGGTGGGGCGATGCTGGAGCCCAAATGCCATTGACAAAAAAAAAAAAAACAAAAAAAAACGCTTTGTGACTGAAGCTGATCAATTACATGTTTGTGTGTGAACGTTCCACTGTACTCCAATTCTAAATAGTATTGTTATCATTCTATTTTCAGTGAAACATAACTTTAAAGCAAGTCATATGGGGAAGGGGGTATCTGTGAATTAAGTAGAGTTCACGCATTACTTGGGGAAAACTGATACTTGTACTGAATGTACACTGGGATAAGTTAGAGAAGCTTATCATTAAAACATTGATAGTAAGAACATTTGGCAGAGAATGAAATAGGAAAATGAGGCCAGATGAGGACATAGAATTTATTTCTAATATTCATTGCAAAGAATAAAAGGTGACACAGCTTGAAACAGATAATATAGAATTTATTCTGAACAAGTAGGAAAATACATAGGTTGGTGAAAAGGAAACAAGCAGAACCTGTAGTCAATGAAAAAAAAAGTACAAAACTAGTCCAAGAGAATTGAGAGGACGGCTAAGTGTACAACAGAAAACATTGTTTACCATTCAGTTCCTTTTTCAAATACTGTAATATGCGTTGATTTGAAAAGAGCTGCCTTGATTTCTTGTCTGGGTTAATGGACATTCTACAACATTGTGCAAGTGTTTTATAGTCGGTTATTAATTATTATTTTTTTGTTGTTGCTGGTATTTCATGAATGGTAAACAATAGTTGGTCCAGTGCATGAACACAGTGACAGATCAATAAAATGTACTCAGCTGACTACAGATAGACAATCCTGATCATTGAACAACTAGCACGAGGTCAGCAAGGGAAGGAGATGAGCAAATATACAGGTGAAATCAATGTATCAGCTAACAACGGTGAGCGCAGTGTTAAAAGATGAAAGAAGCTACATTAGTCTCCACATAAAATGCCTTTAAAAAGTGTTTGAATGTTGAGTATTATTGCCGTTTTTCTGAAAGGGATGCAATCAATTATAACAAAGTAATATAGTCAGTTCTTTTCACATAACTTGGATTGGTGGGTGGGGGTATGATCTGTTACTACGAGCAGCTTTGGTGTGCACTGCAACAACAACAAAAAGATGCAGCTTGGGGGAAATAGATCAGTCTATGCCCAAAGGAGCACAAAAAAAAAAAAACATCACAAAGCACAACACGATCGTACGGGTTTTGCTCTGCGATTCGGCCCTCGGAGGCGGCAGTCTCCCTTCGCGAGGGATGCGTGCGAAATCAAGCAATGGGACATTATGAAATAGGGAAGAAGAAAAAAAAAGAGAGAAATGATCACAGGAGCAGTCTGGCGACCAGCGGCACATCATAGACTCGGCAGCCACGAGGAGGTCAGCTCTGCTGCCCTCACCTTCAGGCACTAGCACTCTCCAGCTAGTGCCAGACAAAATATACGCAATAAAGCTGAAAGGTAACAAAACCACAAATTTAAAAAAAAAAAAAAAAAAAAGAAAAAGTCACACTTCCTGATGCCAAAACGCCCCGTCCTTCATTCCGGAACATTCAACTCCTGTACACATAATCTACAGAGGATTTGGTTTATGGCGGGATCGGCGCGTACGATGGGAAAGTACTAAAAAGTAGCAAACAATACCGTCGTAGAATTCAGTATTTATACATCAACACAATTCAATATTTTAGAAAGGAAACATGAGATACATCTTTTATTCACACTTTACAAAAAAAGCTAGCTTTTTCATCTACTACAATACTAATGCCATTCAGGAAAAGGAAGTAAAAAAAAAAAGTGGACACTGTTGATTTTCAGTTAAAAACAGGATGCAAAGAAACAGCACAAGAAAGACCTCTGAGGACTAACTTGATACTTCCTATTTCTTTGCTTCCATTGCTTTAAAACAAAGTGGTGAAATGTCAGCGATGTGGTGGGGGCGGGGTCTACTAAGTGCTCGTCTTCCCGTGACATCAAAAGCCAGGCCGCTGCCAACATTTTGGGTTGGGGAGGAACCAAATGAGAAATGTGTGTTGTTTTTTTTTGGGGGGGGGGGTCCACAGATGGCACAGTAGCTGCAGCGACTGGATGCGTGTGTGCATGTGTGTGACAATAATACAAAGTGGTTGCTCAAGAGGGATTTAAAATGACAGCTCAACTAAGTAAAGATTGGGGTGGAAATGTAGAGATGATCTTGCTGTGAAAGCAAAGTAGCAGAGCTGTATAAATGTACAATTGATGACTTCATAAAAGACACACCTGATCCTAAAGAGCGAAGGTGTGTGTTTGGTGGTGGTGGTGGGGTGACACAAATACCTGATTATTGGGGATGCGGGTCAAAAACAAAAAAGGAATATACACAACATCAAGAACATCGTCAAGGCTCGTAAAAAAGGAGAACCAACTTTAACAAAACACAAACGGACATAAAATCTTCACAAATGTCTCGACAGTATTTAAAAATAAAAGCAGAAAAGGTTGTTCAGGCTTCTGTCGAATGTTTAGTAGTGCAAGACAACGACTGCTACGATGAGGCACATTGTTTGCTCGGACATGGGGGATTCTTACTGGGCGTCAGTCACACGTCACATAGGAGTGTGTGTATGTTGATGCGAGGGTGGGCTGGTCTACGTACAAATCGCCGCAAACAAACAAACCAAATCAACATCATTAATGACGGGGTCTTAAAAACAACAGATACGCTACGCAACGGTTCATCTCAAAAGGAGTGCAAAGTTGTGACAAACGTGCCATGAACAACCTCTTCTTCTTCTTCTGCTTATGTTGTTTGTACAAGCTGGTTATCAGTTTCACCGCGACATGAACGTGATAAAAATTTAGTCATAGTTTACATACAATCTCTCAAATGGGATCATAATTTACTCTTGGTACAAAAAACACCAGAAAACAGGTCTTTTGTGGTTCATATACAATCATGTAAAGACTGAATCTACGCTTTTGATTCTGTACAAACACTCGTTTGGAGGAAAAAAAAAAACAAAAAACAAAAGAACTGAATACACTGATATCATGCGAGGTTGTGTATGTGGGATTTAAGGAGCGGGAATGTGTCACTACTGGCCGTCAAGACAGTGCTACAAATCTGTGTGTGTGTGTGTGTGTGTGTGTGTGTGTGTTGAGCTGGACAGTGAGAGGAATGCTGGTCGTACCACCCAGGACTCGCTCCCTCGCTTCCTGACTAGAACCAAATCAAGACCACAAGCCCCAAATGGCCCTTACCCAAAATTAAGTGCAGGCTGAGAGTGCTTCATAGCAGTAAGACGAGACTAACAACAACAACAACACCCAAAACAGTCTGAAATTAGGTTGGTGGCTGTTTCTCAAAGCGTCCCTCCAGGCTGTGTGAAGTGGTGCAGCACCGTTGGGTGGCTCTGTGGGTGTCGGAGCCATTGCACCAGTGGGACCGGAGGCTGGGCCGGGGTCGGAGGTGTAGCACCACAGGAGGCCGTGGGCACTCGATGGGCCCCAAGCACCACTGAATGCCAGTGGGAAAAGCTTCCGTCTCGACTCCCGACTACCGGCCCGATGCATGTGTAAAGAGTGACATGTCTGCCATCTTTGCTGGTTTCAGGTTTATACAGAACAGGCAGACACACGCGCACACGCAGCATCAGCTCGGAAGCTTCTCCGCTAAACGTGGCCCTCCCTTCGCGTCGAAAAACGCGGGATGAGCTAGCATCCTGTGTAGCGTGACAAGACAGCAATGAGTATGGATGGGTGGGAATAGGGAGTCCAAAAGACAAATTATGATCCACAAAGTGTACTGAATTGAGCAGTTAAAAAAAAGACAGAGAGAAAAAAGAAAAATATAGAATATCTATAACATCATAGGAAATCCCTGTTGGCCAGACCTCACTGTACGAATATTTTACAGGTTGTGTTTTTTCCTTTTTTGCCTTCCTCCTCCGGGCGGCAGAGGGAAGAGCTGGTCGTGGGAGGGGACGTGGTCAGACAGGGAGAGAGCCCCCACCCTCCCGCCTGGTGGAGTGGCAGGGACTCACTACCTGCGTGCAGGCAGATGGAGGCCATTGACCTGCGGGGGCAAGTTGGGCAGAAGCAGCTCCAACTGGGTGAAGAGACTGAAGTGGTCGGAGGGGATGTGAGGGTGCGGGCAGCCGCTGACATTGTTCTCTACCAGCCAGTGAGGATCCAGGGGGCCCAGGATGCCCAGGACGTTCAGGTGAGGCTTGGAGTAGAAAATGTAGTCGATGACACCCTGAAAGGAGACACATTTTTTTCAGTTAATACTCTAATTACATATTGTAGTCCCATCGACGTGCTCAGCACATGTTTGGGTTGACTATAAGTCGAGTCCAAGTCAATTCATCGATAACATCATTGATACATGTCAGGTTAAATCAGTCAAGTAAAAGGGCTGGGAGTGAGGGATTTGCTCTAGTGAAAATGGGTGGGATTCAATGAATATATGCATTTAAATCAATTTTTTTTCAGTAAATGCCGCTTATCTATAGGGTTGGGCATCGATAATCAAAAACAGAGTGGAACCTTGAGTAACATTGTCCCTGAATCTTTCAGATTTGTCAATGTCGGCGCTAAATCCCGATGCCAAGCCGCACGGAGCAAAGTACCCATAGAAAATGTGTGTGTCTGCGACGCACAACACCAGCCCTGCCACCGGAGGAGCGGTGTGGGCTCTTGAAAGCTCAGAAAAGGCCCGGTCGGGGGGCGTCGCCCATCTGTTGGGCCATTCCCGCCTCCCGCTCCGCGACAAAAGCCGCCGAACACAAACAGAGAAAATCCAATTGTGTGCACACAGCGTACAACAACAACATACACATATACAATCATCTGTATTGATGAATTTAGAATTGATTGCACTCCATTCATCCTCATTGGATGTTTAAGATTAAGCTGTAATTCATGAATAATGGACTCTCTTTTTGTTATTTTATTTGAGTAGGCCCACCCCTAATAACAATGGTAGCTGATAATATCTGCCTGACATAATGGCCAATGGATGACTCTATGATAAGTTCATCCACCTGTGCCTCTGTACATGTTAAAATTGATAAGATCACAAATTTGCCCGTTTTTTGGGGGTGTGTGAAAACGACAAAGTTTGGAGGAAGCTTCTTTGGAAAGATTAAAAGGCCAAATGATTAGACAGAAGAAAAGCCAATAAATTCCAAAAAAGTTGCACACACAAATGCCATATAGTTTGATGAAAGCAAGTTCGTAATTTTAAGGAAGACAAAATGAATGCTACTTGGAAATGTGAAATCAATCAAATAAAGATATCAAGAGAGGGTATAAATAGAGTAAATAAAATCTAATTCCTTGGGGTTAAAAATTGATAAGAGACCTCATATAGAACACATCCAACCCAAACTTTCAAGAAACATTTCTGTCCTGGCACAAGCAGATCATGTGCTCAACCAGAAATCACTCCACATTCTGTACTGTTCACTGCAGTTATATTTAAATTCGTGTTCAGAAGTCTGGGGGAAACGCTGATCTACAACCATTGTACATACTGCCAAAAATAGAATCATCCATAACGTCGGATTTCGACGGCACACAACCATTCTTATAGTCCTAAAGTATGCTGATCTTGTAGAATTTAAAACTGCAAAATCAATTTATAAAACCAGAAATAGTTTACCACTAGGTAATATACAAAATGTGTTTTGGGGAGGGAGGTTCTAATTAATAATGGTCAAAACAAAATACTCAAGAACAATGATGAAACGTTTTTGCGTTTCTGTCTGTGGAATAAAAATACGGAATGGCCTAAATTGGGAACTTCAACAATGACATCTCTAAGTTCAAAAATAAAATCTATAAAAATATTTCGGAGCGGTACAGAGAAGAAGGGAGGCTGGGTTTGACATTACTATAATTGTGATTTTACAGGTAAAATAAGGTTATGATACTGCTAGGTAGAAATACTATTTGAATATGAATAGCTCACTGTTACGGGGTAAATAAAGGTTTGGAGAGTATTATATTGTAAAACGGACATTGGAACTATTATATTGATGGCTTAGTGATGCAGTGAAAATGAGTAAAACATGGCTGAGACTTCGTGGCATAGATTCAACAAGGTGCTGGAAGCATATTAGGTACACCAGTCCAACTGCTCGTCAACACTTAATTTCTAATCAGCCAATCACATGGCGGCAACTCAGTGCATTTAGGCATGTAGACATGGTCAAGACAATCTCCTGCAGTTCAAACCGAGCATCGGTATGGGGAAGAAAGGTGATTTGAGTGGCTTTGAACGTGGCATGGTTGTTGGTGCCAGAAGGGCTGGTCTGAGTATTTCAGAAACTGCTGATCTACTGGGATTTTCACGCACAACCATCTCTAGGGTTTACAGAGAATTGTCCGAAAAAGAAAAAATATCCAGTGAGCGGCAGTTCTGTGGGCGGAAATGCCTTGTTGATGCCAGAGGTCAGAGGAGAATGGCCAGACTGGTTCGAGCTGATAGAAAGGCAACAGTGACTCAAATCACCACCCGTTACAACCAAGGTAGGCAGAAGACCATCTCTGAACGCACAGTACATCGAACTTTGAGGCAGATGGGCTACAGCAGCAGAAGACCACGCCGGGTGCCACTCCTTTCAGCTAAGAACAGGAAACTGAGGCTACAATTTGCACAATCTCATCAAAATTGGACAAAAGAAGATTGGAAAACGTTGCCTGGTCTGATGAGTCTTGATTTCTGCTGCGACATTCGGATGGTAGGGTCAGAATTTGGCGTCGACAACATGAAAGCATGGATTCATCCTGCCTTGTATCAACGGTTCAGGCTGGTGGTGGTGGTGTAATGGTGTGGGGAATATTTTCTTGGCACTCTTTGGGCCCCTTGGTACCAATTGAGCATCGTTGCAACGCCACAGCCTACCTGAGTATTGTTGCTGACCATGTCCATCCCTTTATGACCACAATGTACCTAACTTCTGATGGCTACTTTCAGCAGGATAATGTGCCATGTCATAAAGCTGGAATCATCTCAGACTGGTTTCTTGAACATGACAATGAGTTCACTGTACTCAAATGGCCTCCACAGTCACCAGATCTCAATCCAATAGAGCATCTTTGGGATGTGGTGGAACGGGAGATTCGCATCATGGATGTGCAGCCGACAAATCTGCGCCAACTGTGTGATGCCATCATGTCAATATGGACCAAACTCTCTGAGGAATGCTTCCAGCACCTTGTTGAATCCCTGCCACGAAGAATTGAGGCATTTCTGAAGGCAAAAGGGGGTCCAACCCGTTACTAGCATGGTGTACCTAATAAAGTGGTCGGTGACTGTATATTGGTGGTTAAGTATGGTGTTGTTGCACAAGATGGATTGTGAATTGGAATAGTGAGGACAGTCTTGCATTCTATTTTAATGTATAGGTAGATATGAATATTCCTAAAGAGTGGGATAAACTAATTATGAAGATATGGGGAAAGGTTGGAAAATCTAAGTTTACTGGTATGCTTCCTCCTACTCCTTTTTGAACGTGTAAGCAGGTAGGTCATTACCTATGTTATACTATTTGTCATTCTGTTTCGCTCTGGGGGTTTTTCCCCTCGACTGTATTTACAGATGGTCTTAATTTAGCAATTTTTTTCCTCACAAGTTACTGTATCATACTGTTCTCTTAGTGGCTGTGGTTGCATTCTGCATGTTCAAAATATATATATACCGTATTTTCCGGATTATAAATCGCTCCGGAGTATAGGTCGCACCAACCATAAAATGCATAATAAAAAAGAAAAAAAAAACAAATATAAGTCGCACTGGAGTATAATTCGCATTTTGGGGGGAAATTTATTTGATAAAATCCAACACCAAGAACTTACATGCCATCTTGAAAGGCAATTTAAAATAAAAATAAAATAGAAAACAACACGCTGAATAACTGTACGATATGCTAACGTTACATGACGCATAAACGACGAACTGAGAACGTGCCTGGTATGTTCAAGTAACATTAAGAGTTATTCAGGTAACCATAGCATAAAGAACATGCTAACAAGTTCACCAAACCATCAATGTCACTCCAAATCACTAAAGCCAATGGAATCTTCATCCTCTGTGTCACTTTAAAGCAACTCCACCAACTCCAGAGGTAGAAGATGCAGCGTTTCCTCTTCTACGTCGCTTACGTCAGACTCATCGTGGTTTTATCAACACAGGTCTAGAGCAGCCTCTTATGGTTTAATGTGAAAATAACATGTGAAATGATATAATTAATGTGTTAATAATTTCACCCATAAAACGCTCCAGAGTATAAGTCGCACCCCCAGCCAAACTATGAAAAAAAACTGCGACTTATAGTCCGGAAAATACGGTAAATATATATATTTTTTTATCTCTTAACAGATCTGATCGCTAGCTGCAAGTGTCGGCTGACTGCTTGCCAATTCCGGTGATGAAGGTCACGCACTTAAAGTGACCTAGTTTGTTTTTTTTTTTTTTTTGGGTCATTTCTTTCGTGGTCCAAACAATATGGTCTTTCTGACATATCAAGATGAATGATGGGGTTAAATCACCTTGCTATTTTACTTACTGTATTTTACGCAGGCGCACCATCAATGAATGGCCTATTTTAAAACTGCATTGTAAGGCGCATAAAATAGAGGCTACGATAGTGACTGTGGTTGCATTATGTATCCACTAGATGGAGCTACGCTAAAGGGAATACAATAGATTCACAATCTCATATTTCACTGTACCTTGTTTTTAAATCCAATAAACTGTCTCAGTAAAGCAAGATTTGTATTGGTGACAACTAAAACAAATTTCACAAATAGACTTGGACATGAATAAAATAAAATTGGGCGTCGTCATCTCGAATTACCCCAAGACAGGCTCGGCTTACTGAGGACAAGCTCAGGGCTCCCGCTTAATATGACAACTCCATCCAGCGAAATGGGGAGTCACCTTTTGAATAATTTGTTTTTACTTATTTCTATGCCGGTCTGCCAAATGATTATTTGACTTGAAACTGGTCCATGGCGCAAAAAATGATGGCTACCACTGACCTAGACTTTCTGTAGAAAATCTGCTTACCTTGAAGTCAAACGTGTAGTTGGTGTAAGGCATCAGGCCGTTCTCGTAAGCGCTTTTCAGCTTGAAGCCGTGGGTGATCCTGCCGTTGGACGTGCTGCTCTTGCCATTGCAGTTGAATTTGGTCAGGCTGTCGCTATAGCGAAGCTCCTTGAAGTCCTTGTGAGTGCAATCCACTCCACCCGTACTTAAGTACTCGACCACACCTGCATTGGGAGGCAGAAACCCTCTTAAGAAATGCGCAAAGTCCAAAGGTCTCAACAACTTTGTGAAGACAGATGTTAAAGTTACATCTTACAAGTGAAAGTGTACCACCATTAGAGTACTCATACTAGTCGTTTCAAAATTGAGGTGGCAATTTTATTACGGTCAACAGGTAACACCATGAATATTTATTTTTCTTCTGTTCGGATTAATGTAACATTTTCCTTGGGGTCCCTCAAATGGTGCATTTGTTTTTGTTTATTGTTATTATTTTGTCTTTGAAGGTTTCTCTTTTAGTGGTGTCGCTGAGAATATTCTGGCTGTGTCACTGGAGTTGCCCTCAAGGGATAAATAAAGTATGTGTCTATATATTGCTATCGCTGGCAGAATGCGTGCCCAATTACTCTTGAAAGTGATCATGATGCACTCTCTTTGTCCTTGATTTAATTTAGATTTGCACAACGGGCCAACCCAACCATTCCAAACACATTCCAAGCACCGCTGTGTTACATACCAGAGTCAGGCAAAGAGTTGAGGTCAGCACAGAGCACCAGTGGAATGCCATTGGTTTCACCGGAGACCGAGGACAACTTGAGGCTGCGCGTCGCCTTGTCCACAATGTTCTTTACTTCCGACAGGAACATCATGGTCTGAACCAGCTTGACGTCAGAGTATTCCGGGTCCCAGTGCATGTGGGCGTTGGCTACCAGCAGCAGCTGCTTCTCCATGCCGTGCAGTGACTTCCCAGCTGAATAAATAGTGACCCAGAAGTAAGACAAAAGCTCAAATAAGTACACAAGTATATGGAGGTAGCATCTACTCACAGGACACTTCCATCATCTCTTTGCGGACTTCAAGCAATACAGCAACCCCGATATTGTCCTTCGTCATCACGCGGTTCAACATTGCCTCTGAGCCCTCCGAGTTAGCCATTGCCAGCTGGTTAAACTCCACTGTGTGCTTCTGCACAGCACTGAACCTGGATATGAAGAGATGCAGGGGAACAGGGTGAGGATTAATCAGTAGTGTGTCAAGTAGGGCTGCCACAAATGATTTTGCTAGTTCACTAGTCACCTATTGTAGATGCGATTTGTCGACAAATTGGATCATATGTAAATCACAGCATATCATACCATCTAGAAACTGCTCCTATTGTATATATCCATCATCAATTAACATGATAGTACATTCAACATTCAGATTTTACAAGCATTCCTGCCATGTCTTTACATCAGTGGCTCTTAACCTGGGTTCGATCGAACATTAGGGGTTCGGTGAATCGGTCTCAGGTGTTTGACGGCTGCAGATGATTACATTACATTGCTTGTCCAATCAGTGCTGCGGGAAATTTAGTTCACTCAGTAGTCACGTGTGACTGTCATGATAGTACGTCATACAATTTTAAAAATATATATACAGTAAACCCTCGTTTATCGCGGTTAATGGGGACAAACTCACCCGCGATAAATGAAAATCCGCGAAGTAGCGTCCAATTAACAAACAGGTAAAAAAAAAAAAAAAAAAAATTTTTTTTAAGCCCGCAAACGGTCCGCGAGAAGCTGCAAAACAACAGCGAGTCCCGTAGAGCAACATATACAGTACTGTACTCCATGTATATTTAAAAAAAATAAAATTAAAAAAAATGTTTTTTATATGTTTGAAAAAATCGGCGATTACTGAACCCGCGATAAACGAACCGCGAAGTAGCGAGGGATCACTGTACTTATGCCATGTCATTTTATTAACTTTTTTCTGTTTTTCATAAATGTGTTTTTTTTAATGTCTTGAATTTGTAAAAAATCTTTTTTTTATTTTCACCAATGAAGGGTTCGGTGAACGCACGTATGAACTGTTTGGGTTCGGTACCTCTTACAAGGTTAAGAACCACTGCTCTACATGATGGTGCACCTTAAATTAAAGGCAATACTGTGGCCTTAACGTTTTCGGTTGCAAATGTTTACCGTATTACACTAAACGGCGCACTGGATTATGAGGCGCACCTTCAATGAATGGCCTATTTTGTAATTTTTTCATATATTGGACGCACCGCATAATAAGACGCAATCGCCAATGCATCGACTAGATGGAGCTACGCTCAAGGAAATGCCAAAAGAACACGACACTACAGTCTGATTTATACAGCGACGATCAGATGTCAGTAAAACTTATTTAATAAAGCAGCGACACAGTTCACTTAACCAACCGCGAAACCGATCGCCTTAAGTTTGTACTCTGCGTTGTAAGCATGTCTCCAGCAAGGAGCCATTTTGGGGTTGACAGTACCGTAATGACCATACAAAAGGCGCACCGGATTTTAAGGCACCGTGAGCTTTTAAGAAAATGGAAGGCTTTTAGGTGCGTCTTAATGCAGAAAATACGGTAAAACATTTTAAAAATCGAGCCAAAAATTATAAACACTGAACTGGCTTGAAATTAAATACAAAAATAAATACTTGTAGACATATTTCAAACTTCTCAGTTATCAAGGCTTTTTTAATGTACATAATGTAATGCAGAAGGGAAAACTGCACTTAAGAAAATTAAAACAAATTTTGTTTCTTAACTATTTACTCTAACCTTTATTCAAAACATTTTGCTTTGCTGCACTAGTATGGTATAATTTAAAACCATTAAGATTAGAAGGAACACATTTTTTAGCACTATAACAGTACATTGTAATGAACTGAGTTATGCGTTTATTATGTGCTCCAGTTCAGGTGTTGTGGGAAAAAAATCAAGTTCTGTTACTCTTAAGGTCTCCTGTTTCCCAGATGCTCAACGCATCACTCTGTTCGCGAGTTTGGGAACGAGAGAGCGAGAGTGAGAGAGTCTATGTGATTTGTTTTGGTTGTTAACAAATGCGAGTTTACTAATGCCACCCAGAACGTGAGACAATAGGTTAACATGAAATTGTGTAACAACGGTGGATCAAACACACACACACACACACACACACACACACACACACACACACACACACACACAGACAGCAGGGGCAACCGGGAGATGGAAGTTTCCAAATAAACTATTTTTGTATGTGATTCATTTAATAAATGAATTGTTAGTTGTAGCCGTAGTTCAATGTGCACATCTGGGCATGAGACAGCAGCTTTTTGCGAGTGTCCTTATTTTGGTTTAGTGCTTTTGACTATTACGTTGAACAAGTGACTGAAAACGCATCAGCAGCTCCAGCTCTCCTTCCCCACATGAAGGGGTTTTACAGAACCCAACCAAGTTGCTCCATTTTGTTTTTCACTTCACTCGCGCAGCAACTTCAAATTTTCTCTCGCATCACAAAACCACAATAACTCCAAAAACTCACGTTTGGGTGAAATGTTTGGAAAAACAACCATATTAAGGCATTTACAATGCTCAATTCTCTCAAAAAGAATACTTCGAAAACTTGACAACATACTTTTCTGTTTTGTAGAAAATCGCACATCCATCGACATGTTTGCGGTCCGACTCTGACATGGTCCGAGCTCGCGACTTTGGACTGAAGAACCCGTCATAACCCTGCTCCTTCAGCTCAGGCAAGAAAAAATTGTAGTACTGCTCCGTCTCCACCTCCTATGTTTCACAAGGAGAAACATGAGTCAGAGTGGGCAACATGGTGAGCAGAAGGTGATGACAGATACATTGGTAAAAATGTAAATAACGGAGCAAAAGATGCAGTATGACAGAAGGGACGATAATACACATCACCTGCAAACTGATGATGTCCGCACTGCAGCCCATAATCTCTTGCATGATGGACTTCTTCCTGTACTCCCAGTTCAGAGCCCAAGAAGGGCAGTAGCCGTACAGCTGCCTTGTGGCGTATTTATCACATAACACGTTGTAGCACATGACAGAAAACAGTGCTGCAAGAGGAGGGAAGCATAGAAAACATCTTAGATCCTCTCATACAGTTTTAAATAAGTAGGAACCAGGGTTGTTCATGACGCTGAATGATGTTTTGGTTGTCAACAAATATGAGTTTACTAATGCCACTATAGCACGTGTGACAATAGGCTTGTTTTTGGGGATAAAAATTGAAACTACTGGCAAGTATGAGGCAGGACTGCAATTTCATTTAGGAATCCTATCGTTCAAATGAACGAATAGCCTGTTGAGCAAAATAATTTTTCGGTCCAGTAGCAAAAGGATTGTTCAATTTGCTCCGTCCACTGCGGTTTCTACTGTGTGTAAATCAAAACTTTGTTGACAAATTCAAAGGCTGTAAATGGCAGAGTCAATCCAAAAGCCCAAAATGGAAAACTAAAGGGAAAAACATGCTAACCACTACGGCGCCGTGCTGCCCGGATGAAGACAGCGTTGCAAAATGCTTGTTCTCAGGGCATTGAGTCGATCGCAATTGGACTGTTCAAGTTGTCTTAGAAGACCTTTTGACTCTCTTTCAAGAAGGCTTCATGCAACAGGACTTGGTTGAGACTGCACCAGTCTGGTCCTGAATAGCCAGGGTTCCTCTGTACTATTCTCTAAGTCATTTTTATTACTAACAATGGTCTGCATTGCTGCTACCTGAGGGCAAGGGAAGACGTGAATCATAACTTTCAGTGATTCTCGAAAATGTTGGAACACCTCACCACGGTGTAAAATTACAACTATTATTTCAGTGGGTGGCATGCTTAGTTGATGTTTATGCTCTTCCAAACAACCCAGCCCTCTGTCGATAAATAAACATAAATACACATGAGCTGCATTGGCTAATTTTTAACCACAGAAAATTGGCAAAGTGTACTCATATTCCTCCTGTTGACTCACCTGATGGCCGGGCTCGGTCTGGTTCCTGCAGAGAGATCCACGACCGAGCCGGAGGCTGCTCTGTTGGTACTGAAAAAGAGGAAAATCATGATTACAGGTACATTTTATGCACAATTTACCCTCGCATCATAAATTGGCAATTCAGACAGAAATGCCTCCAATATGGAGAGAAGAGGTATGCAGAAAAACTACTTACTACGCTTGATAGCCCCCGCCAGATTGTCTAACAAGTAGTTGAGCAGTCTTCGCGTGCCGTCAGGTTCCTGGTAGAGGCTCATAATTTCTTGTGCAAGTGGGTTTCCTATAGTGGGCAAAGCGGAGAGAAAAAAAAAATAAATTTTAAAGGAACCGTTGGCTGCGCCTGATGTTAATTTGCTACTGACCTTTTAACCCCAGTGTTTGTAACTGAAACAGTTTTCCCAATTCAAACGGCAGAACCCGCAACTGGTTGTTATTTAAAAGCAGTTCCCTGTGGATGGAAAAAAAAAAGAAAAAGTATTATTTGATCAACAGGAACATACACTTTTTTCCTTCTCTCTCTAATTTACATGAAAAGTAAAATAAGACTGAATTTTAACAATAAAGTCAATTTCGGCAGGGGGATTGTATGAAATCGAACAGAATTTAAAAAAAAAAAATTTGAATTCAGTGCATTCTGTCTAAATGCAGCGACAATGGAAAAAAACAGACGGCTCACCTGAGAGACACCATGTTGCCGAGCTCTGCTGGCAGGCTCCTGATCTTGTTCGATGAAAGATCCAGGTACACCAAATTGTGAAGTTTGGCAATGTCTGGCGGGATGCGTGACAATGAGTTGTCACTGAGGTGCAGGGCAGTGAGGTGGGTGAGTGACCATAGGGCTGTGCTCAGACTTCTCACTCGACCTTAAAAGCATATGGGAAGAAGTCAACCCTTTTGACACTGCAGCCAAGTTGCGATTGTGGAGTACAATAGTCGCAACATCGCCATCTCTGTGGAATTTTCTGGACCAAAAAAAACAAACAACTGGGGAAAAAAAACCATATAATTTGCACTTCAAACGCCTTTAAAATCCCCTATAACAGATACATTCATGAGACAATTGCCTCCTGAAGTACATGACCGATGCCGACACTGCTCTTCTCATGAATAATCTTTAATTTGTAGATTTTTTTAAGGGTAAGTGACGCAGTTTGAAGCATCAAAATAATTTTAAGAAGACCTGTTGGAGCTCACTTATGAATTTCGACCTGTATAAGATTACTTGTACATGTTTTTGGCTGAAAATTGTCAGCCAATCAAAGAAGACTAGCAGACAAAATTGAACTTTTGATTGCAGCTGTGGACATTGTTACAACAACACTTAAATTGATTAAAAATTAAGTCTTTCTGGCAGAGTATTCTGACACTGTTCAGATTTCAGTCCGTTGAAACCTACATCAAATGTTAATATCCAAGATGTCTTTTCTGAAGGGGTTGAACAAAGAAAAAAGTGCTTTTGCAACCAGACAAAACCGGTCTGCAATTGAACGTGCAGACCTGCACGTTCAATTGCTCTGTCCTCGGGCTAAGTTAAAAAAAAAAAAACAACCAAACAAACAATGTGAGTTCCAGAGGGATCCACTCAGTTTCTCCAACTCCGTAATGTATGTTTGTCTCTTCCAAAGAACAAAGCCCCCTCAACGACACAAAATTACAGACGGGCTACATCTACCGTATGCTCACTGTCCCTAATGACGTGGCGAGCCCAACAGCTCCTACTTGATGTCACAGAAAGAAAGACAAAAAATATGCGGCTGATTGACTTTGCCTTTCTTGTGGCGGTTATAAAAATGCCAACGATTGCGTGGTCTTGTAGTTCTACAAGCATCAACCCATTAGCTTAGTTACCTACGACGATCGGTCGACGCTGAACTCTAGCATTGGCACGCATGAATTTACTTGGATACTACTACTTGCGCCGTTCAAGGAAATGTCAACAATGTCTTCAGTCATTTTTTGAATAATGCCACCATTTTGCATGGAGATAGGCTGATCCAACGAAATCGAGCTTTCTCCATAAAACATCATCAACTCTGTGGCAACTATCGCACCTAAATTTGATCTATCTAGTGAACCATCTCCTCAACATAGCAACTTTAAATATTCACCCTTTGCATTATACTTTCGTTAATGCAAATGAGATTTTTTTTTTGACCATTTATGATAATAATTTCCGAAGATATTGTTCTCACGGTTATGAAAGATGCGCTTTGGAGGGTGTCTTACAATTTAAGGCAAATATTGCGTAAAATTAACCATGAAACAGCAAATTGCAGAGTTGCACCTAACAGCTTTATAAGTCTGTGCATGAGTTTCAACCTGATCCATCCAGTAGTTTTTGAGAAATAGGCTTACGAGACCCAAGTCACTTGGCGAGTGCCTGTTACCATGGCAACCAAGGCTGGCATTATTTTTTTCATGATATAATGGTTTCATATTTTCTGACAAAGGTTGACTAGCTTAATAAGATGATTTTTTTTTTTTATCTTGGGGGGGAAAAATAGAGTCCATCCCTTAAAAAAAAAGTATATGCTAATTAAGGCCTTGAGCATTTTCTTCAGAACTAATTTCAAAATTAAATTCAACATGGCCCAATACATTGTGTTTTGTTTAATAGGTTTAGCAGAGATATGCTGAGAAATAATGATGTTATATTGTTTTACTGAATTTGAAGGTGTTTTTGAAACAAGATTTTCCATATGCAATAAAACAGGTGTTTCCCTTTTTTTTTTTTTTGACAAAAGCCGTCCCCAAAAAAAGGCCCATCACACCCACATACATAAAAAGCTCAATTTCTCCAGAATGCTTCATCCGATTTCCAAAATTCTTGCTATGTTTTACTCAGGCGTCGAAGTGGCCTTTCCAGCCATGCTTTTGCATTTTGACAGATATTATTTGGTGAAATCCTGTGACATTGCTATTAATTGTGCAGAGCTAATACATAGCTACAGTAAGGTAATGTAAGGGTTTGCATGTACTTTTGCTTTCTTGCCACGTATCCTCAAAAGTTGCCAACCCAATGAGCAAGTAGTTCATAGATTTAGATATGGCATGTTGATTTACAACTTTGACAAGACTGACATGAAGGAAAACAGACCACTAGGTGTTGCTTTGTAGATCCTGTCAAACCTCTCAATAGCAGGCTGAAGGCCACCCAGGGTGAATCGCAAAACACTATTTTTTTTTATCAGTCAAATTGCAGCCGCACCACCCACACTGTTGACGAAGGAGTTATGCACCACAACATGATAACAGAAGCACATATACAGCTCTGGCCATATATGTTGTATTCACCATGTACACCAATAGTTGAATGCATTACAAATGCAAAAGAATGTGTCTGTGAAGTGACATGGAAATGCACAAAACACAATGTCACATGGTGCCAGTGTTTACAGTCGTAAATATGGTGCCGCATGCAGGCTTCTGATCTTTTTTCTGTATTTGTAACTTCCTGGGTCCTCGTTCCTCTGCTGACATGTTAACGGCTTCCACCAGAAATCCCATCAAGGACACGGGGAGACTGACAGCGGAGCGAGGCGAGAGGAAAGACAAACGTTTGCAGAAATGAGACAATCGTCTCTCTCATTGATGTTATTTTCCTGATACTTCAAAACTATAGACGTTACAGCATTGACTCATGTCACAGATCAAGCATCTTCATGGTTCAATCATTAACATCTCAACATATGTTCATTGTGTGCTTTATGTTTCAAGCGGAATTAAAGTCAAATATGAGCAGCAGTGCTCAACTGGTTAGCTTCAGACCCTCATAGCGCAGACACTGCAGGGTTCGATGCCAGCTCTGGCCTTCTCGTGTTGAGTTTGCATGTTCTCCCCATGCCTGCGTGGGATTTTTCCAGGTACTCAAGTTTCCTCCCACCTTCCAAAAACATGCATGACAGGTTAACGGAACACTCTAAGCCAGGGGTCCCCAACCGCCGGTCCGCGGACCCGTACCCGTCC